GAAGCATTTGGCTGATGCTTACTATATAGGAATAGGGACTGAGTTCTGATCTCATTGGCATTGGGTGCTCCCATGAGAAGAACTCCCATTATCAGTATAAGTCGGCATCCTCTCTGCAACTCAATAGTCTTACAGAGATGCTTGAGGCACTGAGAGGTTATGTGGTTTGCCCAGGGTCACAAAACCAGTATTTGGGAGAGGTGGAACCTCGGTATTCTTGGCTTCAAGAATCCACTACATCAGGTGGCTTGCTTACGGCATGCAATTAAAACAAAACAAAACAACAACAACAACAAGCCTTGGACCTCTTTCCTAGTCTGAGAAACAATCAATGAAAGTTAGAAAGTACATAAATGGGAGTAATGAAAAGAATCTCGATTCTTTCTAGAGATTAGATTACAGTCCTGACTCTCACATCTACTATGGAGGAGACACTGGGCAGGTAAGTCAGTTATGTCCATTTTACAGATGAGAATACTGAGGCTCAAGAGAGTTGGTAGTACAGCTATACTACCTATATCTAGGGCTTTTGTGAGGAAAGTGGGTTACCACCCTTAAAGCACTGTATAAACCATTTTTTATAAGAGAAAAAAAGGACATGCTGAAAGGAATATTAGGGGACATCTAGTCCAACCCATTCATTTTATGGATGAAAAAGCTGGGGCCCAGAGAGGTGAGTTGCCCAAAGTCAAAGAGCTGATTAGGGAAAGCATTTCAGCTAGAACCCCAGTCTCTTAACTTGGTCCAGTGCATTTTCCTTTACATCCTATTCTCTCACATGCTTCTGATATAGATCGAGAAGGGACCTCAAAATCCAATAAATCCAGCCTGCTCTTTTTATAGTAAGGAAATGGATTACGGAGCTCTCACGTGATTGGTCCAAGGTCACAAAGACAAGCAAATGGCAGGCAGGGCTGGGATGTGAAACTAGTTTCTCTGACTCCCAATCTAAGTCTCTTTCCATTGCAAATCAGAAACTTCTCAGATCAGCAGTTACGGCAATATCTTTGTTAAGTAGGGATCAAATTTTATGTGGCCCATTTAGTTGACCAAAACGGTAGCTTGACCAATTAGATTTGCTAGTTTGGAAAAATAATAACAGCTGGCATTTATATAGTGCTTCATAAATATTATCTCATTTATCTTCAGAAAAACTCTGGGAGGAAGGTGCTATTATTATCCCCACTTTACAGATGAGCAACCAAGATAGACAGAGGCTAAGTGACTTGCCCAGAGTTACGTAATAAATATCCAAGGTAGGATTTAAACTCAGGTCTTCCAAGCTCCAGGTTCAACCCTCTACTCACTGCACCATCTAGCTGCCTCTAGATATCAGAAAGGTTGGGATTCAATCAATCAAGGATTTATTAAGCACCTACTATATGCCAGGCATGATGCTAGTTTCCTCTGACAGTAGCTATGTAACCCCACCTAAGCAAGTCACTTGTCCTGTTTTGTCTCAGACAATTCCCAATGACTGTTGTGGCTGTCCATCAGGCAGTGGCGGCTCCCTACCCTGAAGAAATCAATCTCATATTCCTATATTCGTTTGCCCATTTATAGAAGCTTTTAGTCTAGGGATGGGGAAACTTTGGCCTAGAGGCCACATGTGGCCCTCTAGGTCCTCAAGTGCAGCCCCTTTGATTGAATATAAACTTCTTGTTCTTATTCCTCCAAATCTAGACTGTCATTTTTTTTACCTTCCTATTCCCAGAACTTAGCTGTGCCCCATCCCCACCCCCCACAGTAGATACAAAATACATTAAGATTAAATAACTCCAAGCTATCCTAAAAGGTGGGCCTGACTGGTCATCTCTGTTAGCCAATTCATAGCAGAGCTGGGGTTCATAAACATGAATTTCCCATAGTACATTTAGCTTATGCTGCCTTTTGACTAAGGTTAGATATCTCCTTATCCACAGTCATTCCATGAACCTATAAAGCTAGGATGAAAATGAACACATTTGTTCATACAAGAGTATGCCACTTAAGAGGCTGTGTTATGGTGTAGTAATTATTGCCATCAGGAATCTTGAGGTGGGCATTTAATGTTGGATTTCTATTGTCCATCTTCAGTAGCCATTTAATTTTATGATGCTCTGTGACTTTGAAGATAGCAATAAATACTTCCCTCTAAATGCTATGTCACTTTGTCAATGAGTAATTATTATTACTATTCTTTGTTTTACTAGAACCGCTATTCCATCAGTGTTGGAGAGCTCCCGGAGAAGGACTCTTTCTACCAACGCAGATCAAGCACCTTTTCAGTAACTTACAGTCTGAGAGAGCTAAATGATTTGCCCAGGGTCACATAGCCAGAATGTAGCATAAGTGGAATTTGAACCCATGTCTTTGTGACTCTGAGAGCAGCTTTGAGTCCACTTTATCAGTGTTGTGAAGCTCAAACAGAAAGGGGGGGGGTCACTAACCTTAAGGATCGTAGCAAGCCACATATTGACTTGCTTTTAAAATGTGATATTACCTACATTTTACTGTATATTTGTTTTAAAAAATATTTCCCAATTACATTTTCATGTGGTTCTGGGTCCATACTTAGGAGGCGACATGTTTGACACTTCTGCATTACACCATGCTCCTAGACCGTACGATAAGTATCATATAATAAAAAGTCCATTTCATATATAATAAATATGATTTCTATCTTTATTGGCTTCTTATCATTTCTAGTATAAAACACAAATGTTTCAGCCTGACATTTAAAGCCTTCTCCAGTCTAGATTCCCATATACCTTTCCATTAGATTATAAGCTCCTTGAGGGCAGGGACCAACTTTTCCCCCTTTTTGTATCCCCAGCACTTAGCACGGAGACTGGTACATAATAGGCACTTAATAAATGTTGATTGACTTTCCAGATTGATTTCATTTTACTCTGCCTCACAAACTCTATCTTCCAACCCAACGAGTCTGCTCGTTTAGTCCCTGACCTTGAACTTCTGTCTTTCCTCTCTAAGTCTTTGCAAAGGCTGACCCAACATGCCTAGAATGGATTCCCTTTCTTTACCTCTGTCTGTTAAAACCAGCCCTACCTGGGCTGACTTCAGAAACACCTGGAAAGACTTGTATGGTCAGATGCAGAGTGAAGTGAGCAGAACCAAGAGAACATTGTACACAATGACAGCCATGTTGTTCGATGACTAATATTGATAAACTTAACCCTTCCCGGCAATACAAGGATCTAAGACATCTCCAAAGGCCTCGTGATGGAAAATGCTATCCACATCCAAAGAAAAAACTATAGAGTTTGAATGCAGATCAAAGCGTACTATTTGCTATTTTTTTCTCTTCTGTTGAGTTTTGTTTCCTCTTTCTGGTGGTTCCTCCTATTAGTTCTAATTTTTACTTACAACATCACTAATCTGAAAATATGTTTAATAAGAATGTATATATATATATATAGCCTATATCAAATTGTGTGCTGTCTTTGGGAGGGTGGTGGGGAGGGAGGGGGAGAAAAATTTTAAACTAAAAAGCATATGGAAGTGATTGTTGATAAATCAAAATAAATTAATAAAAATAAAAAAAGAGTAATTTAAAAAAAAACCAAAAAACAAAAAACAGCCCTACCTTCCTTCAAGGCTCAACTCCTGATGACCATCCCTTGGATCCAAAGCCTTTCTCGGTCCCCTCAGCTGTTGGTTAATTGAATTCCTTCTCCTGGAATTTTCTTGTATTTATTTAGCTGTCTTTTTATCATAACCACTCCCTCCCTGAGAATTTAAGCTTTCTGCGGGCAGGGCCTGCTCCATTTTTGTCTTTGTGCCTCAGTTGCATTGGCACATAGCAGGCACTAAATAGAATGACTATCTGGTGAATTAATTGGGATGAGAGCAGGTCTGGACCAGCTGTTAATGGGACACAGAGCTTCATTTCTCCAATTGTAAGCTCCTTGGAAGCAAGTACTGGGTGGTTTTTCATCTTTGTATTTATTCCTGCTGCCTAGCATCATGCCATGCATACAGCAGGTACTTAATAAAAAGATTTTTTTTCAAGTTTGTAGGGACTTTAGCCATCTAGTCTAATCAATATCTGAAAAGGAATTCCCACTACAATATACCTGACAAGTGTCTGTCCTACCTCAGCTGAGAAACTTCCAATGAAGGGGAGCTCACTACCTTCCAAGGTGGCCCTTTCCACTTTTGGACAACTCTAATAGGCCGTTTTTCCTGACAATCAAACCTCAATCTGCCTCTTTGCGCCTTCCATTCATTGCTGCTGGTTCTGCCCTCTGGAGCCAAGAGGGACAAATCTGTTTGTTTGTTTTTTTTTTTTTTGTTGTTGTTGTTTTTTGTTTTTGTTTTTTTCTTTTGGGCAAGGCAGTTGGGGTTAAGTGACTTGCCCAGGGTCACACAGCTAGTAACTGTCAAGTGTCTGGTCTGAGACTGGATTTGAACTCAGGTCCTCCTAACTTCAAAGCTGGTGCTCTATCCACTGTACCACCTAGCTGCCCCGGGAGGGACAAATCTGTAGGGAACTGGATGGCATAGTGGATAGAATGTTGGATTTGGAGTCAAGAAGACCTGCATTTGAATCCTGCTTCAGGTTACTATTACTTGTCCCTGAGGAAGTCATTGAATCTCACTCAGCCTTATCTATAAAATGGGGATAATAGCCCCTACCTCCCAGGGTCACATGAGATAGCACACTCAGAGTGCCTTGTAATCAGAGGAAGGAAGCCATTTGCTCTGTATCACATTAACAGCACATGCAGACGTGCTATATCATCCAAGTGAACTCACTAGACATTCATTTTTTACATCCTGACTATGTGCCTTGAAGCACTACAGAAAAGCTAGCCATTAATATGAATTCCTCTTTCTCATGCAAACTGTAAAGCATGATATAAATATCAGGCATTATTATTCTTGTTGTTATTGTGATCTGCTGGTCTCAGGCCAATGGAGAAATATTAAAGTGACCTACAGCTAACAATACACCGGGGATCACATTCTATTGAGAACAAATTCTCAGTTATACATACCACGGCTGTCTTCGTCTTGTGCATTTGGTGATGCAGAGATGGTAACCAAGTAATCCAGTGATAACCAAGAACACTCCAGCTGCAATTAGTCCAGTCAGAAGTCCCATAACATCGATCTTCTCTCTCTCAGCATCTTAAGGGAAATTATTCAATCACCTTTTGTCAATATCCCTATAGCAACAGCAGAGCACATCTATAATCTTGAATTTCTCCTGAACCTAAGCACAGGCCTGCACTCTGTATATTATGAAAAATAATGTCAGCACCAAGCACAGTGCCTTGCATGTAGAAGATGTTTATAAAAAATATCCTCATTTGGTCTTCAGAACAACCCTGTAGGGGCAGCTAGGTGGTGCAGTGGATAGAACACCAGCCCTGAAGTCAGGAGGACCTGAGTTCAAATCCAGCCTCAGACCAAACACTTGACGTTTAACTAGCTGTGTGACCCTGGGCAAGTCACTTAACCCCAATTGCCTAAAAACAAAAAAAAAGCAAAACAACCTTGTAAGTTAGGTCCTATTATTATCCCCATTTTTACAGATGAAGAAACTGACACGGGCAAAGTGACTTGCTCAGGGTCACATAGCTAGTAAGTGTCAGAAGTAGGATTTGAACTCAGATCTTTTTGAAGGTAGGCAGGTAAGTGGTGAAATCCTGCCTCAGGGTCACTTACTAGCTGTGTGACCCTGGGCAAATCAATTAACATTTGCTGCCTCAGTTTCCTCATCTGTAAAAATAGAGAGAATACCACCCACCTCCCAGGGTTTTGTTGTTCAGTCATGTACGACTCTTTGTGACCCCATTTAGGGTTTTCTTGGCAAAGATACTAGAGAGGTTTACCATTTCTTTCTCTAGCTCATTTTACAGTCAAGGAAACTGAGGCAAACAGGGTTAAGTGACTTGTCCAGGGTCACACAAATAGTAAGGGTCAGAGGCTGGTTTGAACTTATGCTATTGTGAGGATCAAAATAAGATAATATTTGTAAAGTGTTTTGCAAATCTTAAAGTGCTATAAAAATGCTATTATTATTATTAAAAATCTGCTAAAGGCAAATCTGTCCATCTATCTATCTATCTATCTATCTACTTGGTCTGTTACTAGCATAACATTTAAATTATTTTAAAATGGCATCTCCAGAGGCCCAGATATCATTTATATACACATATTTTTAAATTTGGTTTTCCCTTTTTGGTCTAGGATTTCATTGATACAGGAGCTGTTCACTGGTGAAGAAACTTTCTCTTCCCATTCAGATTGGTAACAATTCTGCAACTTACGTATTAATAATATGTTATCCAAAGAAGAAAAAAAATCATAGAAACAACATCTCCCTGCTCAGTTTAGTTGGGTAGCAAGGACTTGGGTAAACGTGATCATCCCCTTCGGGTGGAGCCACGGTACCAGAGTCCACAAGGCATCTAGGACCCCACCTAGGGGGACTGAAAGAAAACCTGGCAGGAACAACAGCTGGAGATAATCAGCCAAGATAAGAAAGAGGATCACTTTCTCTGAAAGGTTCTAAACTCAGCCTAACAATCTTACTTTATCCAGCTTGCTGGCATGCAGCAGTTAAAATAAAAAAATTAAAATATTTAGCCACTTTGGCTCTGGCTAAGAGTATTCAACTTGTATTAATACAAGTCTAGACGTTGCCTATTTCCCTTCCATAGTCTTCTAGAGTCACTTAGAAACATGGTGCCAGCTGGGAGGAGGTCTATTATCTCCCTGCTCTAGTATCTCGACAAACTTGATTTTCAATACCTGGGCACTGGAGTTTTACCTCCATTTGCCTCAGCTCTCTGGGTACATAATTGGCAAGTCTACTACAGACTTAAAAGCGCTGACCAACAAGCAAACTGAATGTATGGATCGTTAGTCACAAAACTGAAGTTTATTATAAGAAGAGGAAGGAGAGAAATGAATGCTATTTAATTAGTTCTTGACTCACCTGATCTTGTGTTCGGGCCTTGAACTGAATAATCCTGCCAAAATGCCATCTGTAAAAGTAAGTCAAAGTTCAGGGAGGGAGGTATTTGCTAATGATTTTGTTTAGTGCTACGTAGCCTTTTCACTAATCATGGAGAAAGATATGGTATAAAAAACTAAGGGCTGCTAACCTCAGGATATGCACCTCAAGGGCCACTGTTTGGCCCTGGTTTAGTCATAACGGTGACCTCGGCCAGGTGGAGCCGCGCCTGTTATCCTCTGCTGCCCTTCTTTCCTTTACCCCTGACTCCAACTTGGGTGAGTAAGCATTAGTGCTGACCAATGTAATTAATTCAAAGGTATTTGTTAAGCACCTACTATGTGTTGGGCACTGTGCCAGGTGACGTGTATACAAAAAGGAGCTTCTATACCTTGGTGGGAGATATCATGTACCCAGATAAGTTCATACAGGACAAATCCAAAATAAATACGAAGTAATTGGGGGAGAAGGGCACACCAGCACCTGGGGAGGAATGAGATAGCTCTCATGCAGAGGCTGGTTCTAGAGTTTTTGAGGAAATAGATTCTAAAAGAAGGTGAAGACAGACTATTTCAAGCATGGGGGAGAGCCGGGGCAAAGACACAGAGATGGAAAATGGGCCAGTATGAGGGAATGGAAGTAACGTACAATAAGGGTGAAAAAGGAAGGTTGGGACCGGGTTAAAATGCTTTAAAAGACAAAGAGGAATTTATAATTGATCTTAAAGGCAATAAGGAAACAATGGAGTTCATTGAGTCAGAGAGTGACATAGTTATGCATGAATTTTAGGGGCAAAACCGTTTTAATGGCGTTTATGTATTGGTACAGGGAGAGACTTGAAGCAAGGAGGCAGTAAGTAACTAGGTCAGGGGTGGGGAACCTGCAGCCTGGAGGCCACATGTGGTTCCCCACCCCCCACCTAGTCACTGGAGCAGAGGTTTTATGTTATCCTGATCCAAGGTGCTGAAAGAGATGGAGTGACCCACAAAGGATGGTCTATACCTGATCAAGACTACTTTGGTCTAGGTGGGTTTGCAATTGCACAGAAGCCATCAGAACCTGAGGGTCAATCAAGAAAGGTGTATCTTAAAGGCATTCCTAACATCGTTATTATTTGGAAGAAAGGACTTGGACTTCAAATGCCCAGGACAAAATGAGAAAAGACGGTATCGGTGAAGAATATAACCTTTGTGTCCCCAAACAGGCTACAAATACTAAGTAATGGTAGTTAAGTGCAATGATGGCAGACAGAGAACTAGGGATCCCTGATCTCCATATACGCACAAAAATATTTAGAGTGGCTCCTAACTGATTCATGATAAAAACAGAATCACATGAGGCAAAATTATTAAAGGAAATGTGACTGATCGGCAAAATAGGTTATGGGGCAAAAAACACTTGTCAAATATGGGACCTGTTAGTACAGGAAGAGCCCTCTGGTTGTTCATTTCCAAAAAGGATAGAGGTTTGGGCAAGACATAATTTAATTAGACTTAAGGAAGGACTTTTATAGTGGGGAATTAAATGGTGATGTAAGTAAAAAGAGGCACAAGGAGATGTCCACTCACTTCTAGGAAATCTTTAAAACTAGCGTCACAAGTCAACACATGGCTAAAGTAGAGGTGTGTCTCAGTCAGGGGACTAGGGAAAGGGAAGAGCCTTTATATAGTCCTACTATGTGCTAGGCACTGTGCTAAGTGCTTTACAAATATTTGATCCTCACGACAACCCTGGGAGCTAGGTGCTATTATTATTTCCATTTCATAGTTGAAGAAACTGGGTCAGACAGAAGTTAAGTGACTTGCCCAAGGTCACATAGCTAGTAAGTGTCTGAGCTCAAATTTGAACTCAGGACATCCTGACTCCAGGCCAAGGTGCTCTATCCACTTTGACACCTATGTGCTTCACCTAGACCAAGTTATCTCCTACAATTTTTTTCAACTTTCTATTCCATAATTGTCCTTAAGTAAAAGAAATGTTAAACCCACCTAAACAGATGAGTCAACACTTTGGTAATTAGTATAGACCCAGAACCTAAAAATATGAGGTGAGATAGAAATACATTGAGTTGACGGTTTAAAACAATTTTAAGACTTAGGATAAGAATGTATACAATTTCCAAAGAAAAGAGACTTTCCTATTGAATAACCACTTAATGCTTCCAACCAATTCATGAAACCAGTACCTTACCGTCTTGTCTTCATCCCCAAAGATCTCCCTAGCTTCTTCATAGTTGCACAGTTCCTCATTACACTCTCTTTCCAGATCTCCAGGAGTGAAGAGTTCCAAGTCAAATCTATTGTGGAGGAGACGTCTATGTATGAAGACACTGGCTTCTTCTTTCGATGTAAAGACTAGTGAAGCAACAAAAGGTTTTAGATGAAGACCATTTAAAATCAACTATAGAATAAATCCCCCCTTCAAAAAAAGGTTAACATTGGTGTTACAGTTATTATTATCTTCATTTTACAGACAGAGAAGCTAAGGCTCAGAGAAGTTCAGTGACTTACTTGCCTGTGGTCATAGAGCTAGTATAGCCTTTGTTTCATAGTGGGGAAAAACATTTCTGTTGTGGCTAAATGATATCTAACTTCTGACAAAAGGGAATTGCTGTAGTAAGATATTTTCTGCCAAAAAAAGTAAAATACTAATAATTTAAAGGACATTCATTGTATCTGAAGGAAGGTTTTTGCTCAGTACATAGAGGTCCCTCCTCTGCCCCAAAATACACACAAACTTTGCTAGCTGTGGAATGCTGGGGCTAGCTCATAAAGATGAAAGCCCATTGTTAAATTTTCATTGTGAACATTTACACCTCAGAAATCAGGAAATGCTATAAATCAAGACTTCATCCATTTTTTAATTGCCTATTTAAGAAAGCAATGGAGTAAACATTAGTAATGCAGATAAACTTAAAAGTATTTTATCCATAATTTTCTTTTCTTTCTTTCTTTTCTTTTTCTTTTTTTTCTTTCAGAGCCAGTTGGTAAACATCTACCTGCATAACTCTGGTCATTAGTATAAAACAGAAAGTTGTTTTAAAGATATAGTCTTTGGTTTTAGATGCTTGTTTAATTAAACAAACCAAAAGGGGTTTGAAGTCCACAGACAAAGTCTTTTCTTGATTGAGAACTAAGTTAGACTGTGGCATGATAAAAGATCATTAAAATAAGAGTCCAGAGATCTGGGATCTGCCGCCAATCAACCACGTGATCTTGGGAAACTCACAGTCTCCCTGGGTCGCGATTTCCTCATCTGCAAGCATGAGAGGATCAGACGATAAGGTCTTTAAGATCTCTTCCAATTCAAAACTTCAATAATTATTACAGGAAATTCCAACCCCTCCTCCTACTTAAAAAGGGATGATGTTTCCAAAGGATTTTATTTAGTCACTTTCTCCATCAATCTTTATTGTGATGGTGATTGACAGATACCATAGGGCTAGTAATAGTCATACTTAAGTTTTCATAAATGCTTTCTTCCACTAGGAAGCAGAATGGTAGAGGTGACAGAGGGCTAGGCTATGAGCTGGGAAGACCTGGATTCAAATTCTGCCTCTAAAACAGTTTCCCAAAAGTCTTTATGAAGCTTTAGGTTTTAATAGTTTAAATGGTACTTAGTAGCTTTGTGACCACATAACCTCTATAACGTGTATAAGGTAACTCCCTAGGACTAATCCACTGAAATTTCCACATCAGAGATCCTTCTCCAATTCCATACAACCATCCTATGAGGGTTGTTGATCCGTTGATTAGTTCTGTTGAACTGAGTTTTTTTTCCCTTTATTTTTTATTCTTTCAATTTTATTCTCTGATAGCTTTCTGAGTAGTGAGGGGCATATTCATAGAGAAAAGTTATGTGAAAACAAAAAAAATCGAAAAATTTTTTAAAAAGAAACGGAAAAATAGCCTCTGCTGCTTCTGAAGGAGCCTGCTGCCGTCATGAATAACCCTCTAACCACCTGAACGAAGAAGTTCTATCCTCATTTTTACTGATGAGGAAACTGAGGCATAGAGTCGTTAAATGACTTGACCATGGGCAAAGATTTAGTTTCTAGTAATAGTAATAGAACTTAGTTCTTCTGACTCTGAAGACCCAATACTTTCTTTTCTTTTTTGAAGTTTTTACATAATTTACTTATGCTCTGATGAAAATTTATTATCTTCACAGATAAACATCATCCCTAGTGCCTTTTATTCCCTCTTTTTGCCAGCTCCTACATGTGCCTTTGTAGTACCCCTGACTTTCTTCATTCTGTTCTTGTGTTCCTTTTGCTGCTTTCTTAATGTTTTTTTCTTCTCATACAGGCCATGCCTTGCAAGTCTGTGCTTTGGTTCATCTTTCTTTGCATTGCCAAGGGAATCATAAATCATGCCAAAGCCTGTTGTTTTGCGACCACCAAAATGGGTTCTGAAGCCAAAGACAAAAGTGACATCTGGAGTTGTCTTGTACATCTTGGCCAGTTTTTCCTCAAATTTCAGTCTTGGACACTGTGGCCTTTCCAGAATGAAGGACATCTATAACCATCTGTTTATGCTAAAGAAGTCTGTTTGTCATGAACTTCTTTGTTCTGATGGTAAGAGGGTCATTCATGATGGCAACAGGCTCCTTCAGCAGCAGCAGAGGCTATTTTTCCTTTTCTTTTTAAAATTTTTGTCGATGTTTTTTTGTTTTCACATAACTTTTCACATAACTGAATATGCCCCTCACTACCCAGAAAGCTATAAGAGAATAAAATCAAAAGAATAAAAAATAAAGGGGAAAAAAACTCAGTTCAACAGAACTAATCAACAGATCAACTGTGTGATAATCAAGTGACACACTCAATCCCCTGCCTCTGTAAGCAAGGGAGTGAGGTGCATTTTCTCATCTCTCCTCAGGTTCCAGGCTTAGACCAGAGTCCTTTGCATTACACCAATCGACCTCTCATATATGTAACTACATTTTCACAGGTACGTTGGCTGAAGTACAAAATGAGGCTGTATTACTAGTTAAGAGTGAGGACCCATGATTTTGTCAGTACAAATACTCCCCCTACTGGTGCCCATCACAACATCTCTTTCCTCAAGGAAATGGTTTTTCTGAGCTTCGGCCAATCTTCTAGCCAGGAGCCTCTTTAAACTTATTGGGGAGGCTGATTGAGAGGATGACAGACTTACAGTCCATCACAGAGGGCCTCGTATGGCAGAGGATAACATCTGTCATTTAGAGAAAGCTTTAATTCTGGCAGGACCTTCACAAGTATTATTTCATTTGAGCTATACAACAACCCTGTGGGAGGGGAGGGTGGGTACTATGTGCCCATTTTACAGATGAGGAAACTGAGGCTCATAAAAGTACCGTGATCTGCCCATAGCCATAAAGTTAGTGAATGTCAGAGGTAGTTTGGTGCCTGGTCTTCTTGGCTCCTGGTCCAGTACTCTATCCATAATGACACTTTTCTTTTTTTTTTTTATTTTTAGGCAATTGGTGTTAAGTGACTTGCCCAGGGTCACACAGCTAGTAAGTGTCAAGTATTTGGTCCCAGGTCAGATCTGAATTCAAGTCCTCCTGACTTCAGGGCCAGTGTTCTATCCACTGTGCCACCTAGCTGCCCCAATACTTTACTTCTGAGACAGAATCATACAAAATCACCTTTCAGAAGGTGAAAGAGACCATAGAGGAAAGATAAAATAACTGGATTTTTTCCAACTGGTTTTTTTATTGTCAGGTAGACAAAGTTGAGTTGTTCTAGATTAGGAAACCTGTGACAGTGAAAGGACCAGGTGAGCAGCTGATCCATCAGGAATATTCAGGAAATAGGATGTTAAAAAGGGTCTTCTCCTTGTTAACTTTTCCTAAACAAAAATGTAGAGCGGAAGGCAGCTAAGGCTAGAATAGAGCATTGGGTATTGGTTGCCTGACTTCTTCTGTTCTGGCATCAGGAAGAACTGGGTTCAGATTCTACCTTGGACAGAATCACTTAACCTTAGGGAGCCTCTGCACCCTGATTTGTAAAACAAGGATGAGATGCCAATACCTATAGCACATACCTCACAGGGTTATTATGACATTCTGATGAGATAATGTAAGTAAAGCATTTCTAAATTTTAGAAGGATATATAAATGTCAATCATTGTTATTCCTTTTATCCCTTTCAGGGGTCTGCAAAGGAATACAGTCATTTTTTTTTGTTTGTTTAAACCTTCAGTCTACCCATTTTGAGCTTCAGATTGAAGCAAAACTAATTTGAAGGCAACCTCCCTGACCAATTCAACTAGTAATGCCTCTACCTTCTCCTAAGACATTTTTCAAACCTCTCTGGCCTTGAGGTAGCAAGGTGGCAAAGTGGTTAGAGTACTGGAGCTGGAGTCAGAAAGACCTGAGTTCAAATCCAGCCTCAGACTTTTACTAGCTGTGTGACCCTGGACAAGGCACTTAATCTCTGTTCACCTCATTTCCCTCAACTGTAAAAAGGGAGCAGTATTTACCTCACAGGGTTCTTGTGAGGATCAGTGAGATAATAGATGTAAAGTGCTATCTGACTATTGTTCAACTGTGTCCCGTGAACCAAACTGTCCATGGGGTTTTCTTGGCAAAGATACTGGAGTTCTTTGCCATTTCCTTCTCCAGTGGATTAAGACAAATAGGGTAAGGGTCACATAGCTAGTAGGTATCTGATGCTGAATTTGAACCCAGGTCCTCCTGATTCCAGACCCAGAACTCTATCCTCTGAGCCACCTAGCTGCCTCATTTAACTATTAATTATTACAAATAGCATGACCCTAGCATGAGACTTTTGATCCTCTAACCAGAATTCCCTCCCTATTCAGTTTACATTTTCACTACCTTAGGCTGTTACATAGTCAGCTTTGTCCCCAAGCCCTACACTTCAAATGCATAATTTGAGATCCTCCATTCCTTTCTTTCATGTCTGCCCTTCCCTTCTAACAAACCCCATTCAATTCTTCCCCATGCTTTGGCACAGAGCAGGTGTTTAATAAATGCTTGCTGACTGATTGGCTGATTAACAGCTCCACACCTCCAGGATCATATCACCTTTCTTCCCCCCACCCCTACCCCTGGCTCAGCTAAGGCTTGTCATATTTCCCTTTACAATATCACCATTCAAGGATTAACGTCACGTCTCCAGGGATCCCTTCTTTGATATGGGAGGAGGGGAGTGGGGAGCTCAGCCTTAAATCCATAAGGATTTTCCCCCACTGGCAATAGGTGGGGTTGGTCAGCTTTATGCATAGGCATATGCATAGGCAGCTGCCTATAAGGCATACCGTATAGGTATGATCTCTATCAATACCAGGAAAACTTCCCACTCTGATACCTGAAATGACATTCTTGTAAGATAAGGCATCTTCCCCAGTTAAAATGGACATGACCCTGGAAAGGGTAATACACTGAACCTCTCTTTGAAGGAGCCATATTGGTGTGGGAGCTAGAAGGATCCGAAGAAGTCATTGAGTTCAATCTCATTTTACAGTTGAGGAAATGAAAGTACAAAGTGACCTGCCCCGGGTCACATAGGCAGTGTTAGAGGAAGGAGATGAACAAAGATCCTTTGCCAGTGTTCTTTCCACTGTCCCAAGACATCTCCCAACTCCTTCATCTCTGTAGATAGCTCATGTGTTGCTGTAATCAAAAGAATACATCGCTTGGCACTAAGCCTCTCAGAATTTAGCTAGGCTGAGTCCCAAATAAAAGACAGAATTCCACCTCCATGCCTCTCCTCCACACCTTTCCAGCTTGGGCAGGAGGCCCTCCTGGAGCTTATGCTCTCTGGCAGAGCCTTATCAGTCATTAAAAAGTTAGTGTGGATTCGTTCAATGGATTCTTTCCAACTGATGGCTAGCTAAGAACAAGTTGAGCTGGAGGGATGGGGGAAAGAAGGAAGAGGCAGGTTCAGAATCTAGGCACTACCCAAAGAGGACAGGATTAGGTGGGAGACTGCAAGGCCCCAGACAAACTTTATCTACTTCTCAATTTTGCCTAGGGTCAGTCTCCGTTCAGGGCATCCATCAGAGGTTTAAGTATCAGATGCTCTTAGGGACCTAGAATTTATGTCAGACTTTTGAGTTATTGATCTTTTAACTTAGCTTTCTTCTCCACTCTCCACCTGTACCAGAGTAACCATATCATTTTAGACCTGGAAGGATGTCTTGGAGATCTTGCCTGATGCTTGAGTCTTACAGATGCCGAAGCTGAGGGCTGGAATGGTAAAGGTGCATGTGTATGTGTATGTATGTATGTGTGTGTGTGTGTTTGTGTGTGTGTGTGTGTGTGTGTGTGTATGTGTGTGTCCAAGGTCATGTACTTAAACTGTTGCCATTTATACTGCAAACCTCTACGAAATGAGAGGATTGGGCACAATGGCCTCTGAAACTCCTCCCTGCTCTGGAACTATGATTCCAGGATCCCCTTGAGGGCAGGAACCTTGCCTCCCTTTCTATCTTTCTTAACCTCCACACTTAACCCTGTGTGTTCTACACACAGGAGATACTTGACATATGTTTGCTGATTTATTAAGACAAGCCCCGACTAGAACCCAGATGTCCTAATTTTCCACGCAGCAGTTTGCAATTCTTCTAAAACAAGACTATTAATTATACCTCCCTTTTCCCTTTTTTGTCTCCTCATTGCTCAGCAGAGTGCATGGCACATAGTAGATACTTAATAAATATTTATTGACTGATATATGATGATTACCATGTAGACCTGACTTAAAGAAATGTCACAAACCTATCTGCAATAGTTGGGCAGGCTTTGTATTTTATTAATCACAAATGCTCACCAGGATTTAAATGTGCATTTATCATTAAAATCCCTGGAGAGGAGCCCATTGATTTGAATTGAAAACAAAACAAAACTAAGCAAAAACACACGAGGTTTGCCCTAGTGGATACAGTGTTGAGCTTGGAGTCAGGAAGATGTGAACTGCGATCTTGTCTCAGACACTTCCTAGCTGTGTGGCCCTGGGCAAATCACTTAACCTCTTTCTGCCTCAGTTTCCTCATCTCTAAAATAGAGATAATAGCATCTGCCTCCCAGGATTAGGACCAAACGAGATAACATGTAAGGTGCCTTGCAAATTATAGACATTATTATTATTGCTATATGAGTTCAAAGTGCTTCTATTGGCTGATTATTCCCCTAAACGCGATGTTTTGGTTCAAACATTAGATTTTTCACTTTGGACAGAAAAAAAATAATATAAGATGTGGTTATAACGTCAGTATGGCTTTTTCCCCCCTAAAAGAGGTGATTACCGTCTTTTCCTGCATGTGTAGACTCTCGGGGTCTTCTTGAGCAAGGAGGAAATGCAAAAGTAATAGCAGGCAGAATGCTGAGCAGAACCAAAAGTTTAAACATAGTCTGGCATCTGTCGAATAAAAGACATACATTTACACAGCTTTTGTCTCCAGCCTCCAACCAGCACCCACGGAGGCAGCGCAGTACCAGACCAGTTTTCAGGCCGTTCCGGCTGGTCCGCATACCCGGCACAAATGCTGAGAAGGCTCTCACCTGGCTTTCCACCATACTCCCCCCCTTCCCTCAGGGCATTCTCAGCAGACTCCAGTCCCTCTACACCCACCACAAAACCTCCAGTCACTTCCTGGGAAGCCCTAGGCGCCCCCAAGGAGTGGCTACGGGGTAACCTGTAACCGTGGGCCACGGAGCGCACCCCTCCCGGACAAACCCAGCCCCCCCCGCCGCCACCGGAGGCAAGCGGGAAACAAGCGATTAGGGTTCCCATCTCGGCCCCCAGCCCCACCCCGACCGTTCACCTCCCCGCTTCCAAATGTAGAGATCGGCCCCTGCCAAGTTTCTCTCCGGACGAACAGGTTAAAAGGTACCTTTCTCCTACAAAACTACTTCTTATGGAACCTAACGTGAGCCCCCGGCCCAGGTGACCGAGGATCCAGTTCAATAACCCAGACTCTTTCTCTACCCAAGGATGAAGGAGGCTCCGATTTCAAACTTTGGGCCCCACCCCCAACCCTTCCCACCGTCCGGGTTTCCGAGGCTCTATTCACAGACCCCAGACAGCCCCAGTACCCATCGTCCTGGCTACTTGAGCTCGAGTTCCAGAACTCATTTTTCCCACCCTTCACTTAGTCGCCATCCCCTTGGTTAAAGAGGTTCTGATTCCCGACTCCAGCCCCAAGTGCCTCCACCTCCCACCCCAGATCTCTCCCCATCACCTGAGTTACTGAAGCTCCATTTACACGCCCCCTCCCCCCTTCAATTCCCCACTGCTCCAGCCTCCATCTTTGGGATTACCGAGGCTCCTATTGAGACCCCCGCCCCCAGCCCCGTCCTCATCCCCAGGATTTATGGACCTCCCAGTCCCAAAGCTCAGACTTCCCTCCCCCTCCTCCCCCCACCGCAGGTCTCCCGGGTTACCGAGGCTCACTTTCCAAACTCCAGGCCTCCCTCCCCGCCCGGTCCCGAGTTCCACGGTCGCGGCCCCCCACAGCTCAGCCCTACGGTACCTGGAGCCACTCGCACATACTCCGGAGCCGCTGTCCGGTTTCTGCCAGGCCCAGAGTGGATCCCAGGCTTCGTCGCTGATGCCCGCACTCCTTCTCCTCTCAAAATCAGTCCGGCCCGCGGAGGCTGGGAGGCTGCGAGCCCGGGCTCCTGATCTCAGGATCAACCAGCTGGCAACCGCTCAGCCGCGCTCCCCGGCGAAACCTGCTGCTACAGCGGCTGCTCCCGGACCAGACGGGCGCCGTGGCTCTGGGGCGCTCTCGGCGGGCTCACTGCGGGCTCACTGTGGCTGGGCGGGCGGGCTCCTAGGAGCTTCCTGGAGGGGGCGGAGTCCCGGGCGATGGGGGCAAGTCCCCAGCGGTTCAGTCTCAGCAGGTGGCCTGGCGCCCTCACGAGTCCCCGCCTCCAGCAGCTCCTGGGGCTGGAGGCTGAGCCGACAGGTAAGGAGGATCCGATCCCTGGCTGCAGAGAAACTGGAGCGGTGTCGAGGCCCGCCCCACGCAATGAACCGGGCTGGGCCACCTACAAGTCCTTCCCTCCTGGCTCCCGCTCGGCGAGCTAGAGGAGAGCCACACCTGGGGAGGCCTGAGCTCTAGCAGACTGCGTTGCAGTTGGGGGGGACTCCCACGCACTCCATCTCAGCCCTGTGAACAGTCCTGGATCTGGAGGCTGTGGACTGCATTCGCGTTCTGGACCTTTCGCTGCTTTCGCTTGTATGTCCTTGGACAAGTGCTTGACAAATTTCTGGTCAATCAATCGAGTATTTATTAAGAGCCTACTGTGTGCAAGTCACCGTGCTAGGGGATCCAAGTACAAAAAATTAAACAATCCACGCTCGAAATGGGGTGAGAACACACACATATACATATAGGTATAATAAATACAAATACATACAAAGTAGTCAAATACAAGGTCCTTCCAAAATCTTAATTGAATCTTAAGCTATTAAACCTTTACAAATCTCTACTAAAATTTTTATCCTCCCTCCCACCCCCACCCGAAAAGTAGTTTGTGAGTGAATGCACTAGCAGTTGTGGTAATCATGCAGAAGATGATGGCCGAGTTGCATTTTAAAAGTACTCTTTGAAGAGGAAGTAAGGAGGCACTTTTCCCGACATGGGGGATGGCTAGTGCAAAGGCATTCAGCTGGGAGATGGTGTATCTTGAGGGAGGATCAGAGAGAGGCATACCTTGGTTGCTATCAGAAAGAGGGAGTAACATTCAGTGAGGATGGAAAGATAGGTTGGGGCCAGATTGTGAAGGGTTTTAAAAGCTAAACAGAGGAGTTTATATTATATCCTAAAGGTAATAATAATAGCTATAGCACTTACTCTGTGCCAGGCACTTTATAATTAATATCTCATTTGATCTCACAACAACCCTGGAAGATAAGTGCTATTATTATCCCCATTTTACAGCAGAGGAAACTGATACAAATAGTGGTTAAGTGACTTGCCCGCATTCAGACAGCTAGTAAGTGTCTAGGCTTGGATTTGGACTTAGGTGTTCTTGACTGCAATCCAAGCACTCAATCCACTGAGCCACATGGAGTCTATTGAGTAAGGGAGAGGGATGGTCACATCTGCATTTAAGGGAAATTATTTTGTCAGTAGTATGTAGGATGGAGTGGGGGGGGGGAGTAGCGGAGACGAGACAAGGAGACTAGTTGCAATAACTTAAGTGAGAGGTGATGAGAGCCTGAACTAAGGTAGTACCTGTGAATGGAAAGAAGGGATCGAATGTGAGAGATGTGAAGCAGGAAAAGCAAGATATGGCATCTAAAAGGACGTGTGGGATGAGCAAGAGTGAAAATTCCTGGATAATGCTGATATTATGAACTTAAGACTCTGGAAGGCTATTGTGTCTTTGAAGAAATAGGGCAATCAGAAGAGAGGAAGGTTTGGGGGAGAGATAATGAGTTCAGTTTTAGACATGTGGAGTTTAAGATTTCTCCAGGACATCTCATTCAAAATGTCCAACAGACAATTGGTGATATGAGGCTGAAGCTCAAAGCAGAGACTTTATATAGTCTCAGTGGCATCTTGGTGGAGAGATGATGGTTAAACTTATGGGTGCTGATGAGGTCACTGAGAGAGAAGGAGGGAGAAGAGAAGGGATCCCAGGACAGAACCTTAAGGAATACCCACAGGTCAGGGACAAGGAAAGTTTCAGAACTGCAGGATGTAGATGATGAGCCAACAAAGGAGGCTGAGAAGGAGCAGTCAGACAGGTTGGAGACAAACCAGGAGACAGCAGTGTCACAAAAGCCTAGAAAGAGTATCCAGGAGGAGAAGGGAGTCAGTCGTATTAAACACAGCAGATAGATTGAGAAGAATTAGAAGACATTTAATAACTTTGGAGAGAGCAGTTTTAGTTGAGTGACTAAGTCAGAAGAAGGCAGATTGCAAAGGATGGAGAAGTAAATGAGAGGAGAGGAAGTGAAGGCAGTGAGTTTAGGAAAAAAAAAGGATGATAGCTGAGAAAGTGAGAGGTATAGGACAACAGCTTGAGAGGATGGTAGGATTAACTAGCTAGGTGGTCCATTAGGCCTGGAGTCAGGAAGACCTGAGTTCAAATCTACCCTCAGACATTTGCAAGCTGAGGGACCTTGGCCAAGTCACCTAACCCTTTTTGCCTCAGTTTTCTCATCTGTAAAATGGACTGGAGAAGGAAATGGCAAACTACTTGGGTATCTTTGCAAAGAAAACCCCAAAATGGGGTCATGAAGACTCTGACATGGGTTAAGTAAAGGTTTCTTTGTTTTTAAAGGATGGGGACATTTGGTTATGTTTGTAGGCAGTAGGGAAGGAATTTTGATAGGGACCTATTGACAATTTGAGGGGGAGGGGAATGATTGAGGACACGGTCTTTTGGAGAAGCCAGGAAGAGATGGGATCTAGTGCAAATGTAGATCAAGCAAGAATGTTGGCTCTGATAAGGAGAAGAGCAACCAGTCTGTCAGAGCCTGAGACAAAGGAGAAAAAAAGTGGGAGTCAAAGGATTTTCAACGAAGAGAATGGGAAAAGAGGAAATTCATGTCAAATGGCCTGAATTTTTTTCAGTAAAGTAAAAGGCAAGGTCGTCAGCTTAGTGGGAGAAAGAAAAAAGTGTGAGGGGATTGTAGAAGGAAGGGAAAGTTTGGAATAGCTTCTGCGTATGGAATTTCTCAAGTTCTTGGAGAATAAGGAATCAATTAGGGAGAAATATAAGGACTGCCTTGGTGCAAGAAGGGCCCAGTTATCACTGGCATGGTCGTGAGATTTCCTCCAATTTTGTTCAGCAGTTCATGAATAGCAACAAAGAATGTAGGGGACGAGACTAATCCAGGGCTGAGGTTTGGCAGCAGACAAGCAGCCATAGTGAAAGGGGTAAGGGATCCAAGAGCAGGGGAAAATGTAATGTTGAAATGGCTAACCTCCCATGGAAAGGTAGGAAAATGAAGTTAGAGCCTGTGAAGGTACTAAGGGGTAGAGGGAAGGGAGATCCTGGGTAAAGAGTCAGTTTAGAATAGGTTTATGCCTTCTTATGAGGCACTGGGAGACGTGGAATGATAAAAGGTTATGGTCAGATAGAGGAAGGTCAGAACTTCTAAGTAGGTGGACCACTTGTATGTAATGGCAAGGTCTAGTGTGTGACCATCTGTAAAGTCCCTTTCAGCCTACATCCTATAATCTTATTGTTTGCTACTACCCTGCTCCCCAACTACCTTATACTTAATATGCTTGTATATATGTGTATATATATATATACATATATATATATATTTAAATGCATATACCTCCCTATGGAATGTAAGTTCCTCAAGAGTAGAGATTGTTTCATTTTTTTTGTCTTTGTCTCCCTACTACTTTAACAATACCTGGTGAAGAGTAGGTGATTAATAAATGCTTGTTGATTGATTAATTTGAAAAGGAAGGGCTATCCTGAGTCAATCAGACATTTATGGGACACTGGGGTGTCCTGTAAACATCTTAAACTCAACCTGTCCAAAATCCAATTCATCATCTTTTCCCCTAAACCCCTGCTTCCACCTGACTTCCTTATTTCTGTCAATGGCACCACCATCCTTCTGGCCAACCAGGTTCACCAGCTGGTGGTCATCTCCTCTTCAGCTCCCTTATCCCACCCTTTCACTCCCATATCCAAACACATGGAAGTCTTGTTGACTTTGCCTCCACACCTTGTCTCACATCTGGCCCCTTCTCTCCACTCACATAGCCATCACCTTAGTTCAGACCCTTATCTTCCCTCTCATGGACTATTGGAATGGCCTCATCATTGGTCTCCTTGTTTTTAATCTCTCCCCTTTCACATACAACCTCTACACTGTGTTGTACACACCTTCTACTCTACATTGATATCCCTAAAACACAGGTCTGACTTTGTCAGTCCCTTGACCAAGAAGGTTTTGTTGTTGTTGTTGAGTTGTGTCCTACTCTTCATGATCCCATTCAGAGTTTTCTTGGCAAAGATACTGTATCGGTTTGTTATTTCCTTCTCCAGCTCATTTTACAGGTGAGGAAACTGAAACAAACAGAAGTAAGTGACTTGCCCAGGGTCACAGAGCTGGGAAGTGTCTGAGTCCAGATTTGAACTCATGAAGATGAGTCTTCCTGACTCCAGATCCAGTGCTCTGTGCACTATGGTGCCACCTAGCTCTCACCTAAGGAGCTTTAAAAAAGTGGCTCAATCTGGGTCCCTGGATAGGTTTCACGGAGCCTATGAACTTAGATGGTAGAAAATGACATCTTTAGTTCAATATTATTGGTTTCCTTTGTAGTTCTCTTTGTCATATGAATTTAAAAACACAATTCTGAGAAAAGGTCCATAGACTTTACCTGAATGCCCCTCAAAATGTATTAAGAATATTTGCCTTCTGCCATTTATAGCCTTGCACAATCTGTTTCCAGACCTATCCTTAGACATTTCACATCCTATACTCTCTATTCCAGTGACATTGATTTACTTATTCCATCCCGCCGTAAAACATTAAATTCCTTATATACACATTTTTACAAAGTTTATTCCCCATTCCTGGAATACCCTCCCTCTTCACCCTGGTCTCTTTATCCTCCTTGAAGGCT